TAGAAGCTTGCCCTTACTTTTTGTCGTTAAACTAGTACTTCAGCTCACAATATATCTCCTTAGTTATGGTTTTAATACATCACTTTTCGTATGTCGGTAATTTTACAGTAAATGGTAGTACTTTCGCAACTATAGATTAAAACCGTACTGGATCAATTTTGTACTGCAGTTCTGAGGCATACTTTGCAGCCATTACTGTTGGTGTTACTGACAGAAAGACTTTGAAAGCGCATTTGTTTCATGTTTAACTGTCTACAAACACGTAGAAAAAAAATATAACATCTGGTTTTCATCTAACTCTGTCAAACAATTCCGAATTTATAGGCTCAATAAAACACTTGGGTGTTGAAGCTAAATTACCAAAGTTAGTGTACATACAGTAGAAGGAAAATAAACTAATCTCAGGTTTTCAGTGCCACAAAATTGAGGTCCATAATTAAAGTGATATTGAAAAAATATATCTGAATAAAATAGTAACGAAATGACACTTCGTTACGACATTTCTTAAGGGAAATAGCGTTACTCGATAACTATAGAATAGATAACTGAAAGCTTAACTCCTAAAAACAAACTAGGGAAACACATAATCAGACAAAAAGGGTTTTTCCGTCAACAAACAGCTAATTTGAATAACTTGATTCGGTGCTCATGTGTGAAGCAATTTTACTGGTAGAAAAGCTATTTGAAAACATATCAATACACAAAAAGTATGGAATGTCGCTAGAGATGGTGTTAAGACTTCAAACTAAGAAGAAAAGATTCAAGAAATGATCTTCGGCAAACTAAAGACTAAGTAGCAAAATCAGGTCACGCCTTCTATGGAAAATTTATGTACATTCTGTATCACATTTTCCTTGCTTGTATAACTTCGTGGTTGCATACGTTTTGTTACATACATCATGAAAATGACCATCGAATGGATTTGCTAACTTTTGCAATTAGTAGTGTTCTTTGACCTGGTTGGTTTAGTTGCGGAGCTTTCGTCATCCTTCTGGACAACATATTCAGTGAAATTTTTAGCATAAAGTGAAATGATTTAAATTTTCCTTGACTGATAGAATTGCGTCTCCCAGTAACCATCTTTACATATGTATTGATCATTTTGTATTGACTCGGATTTTAAACATTCTCGTCACATAGTTTACTTTTTATCAGTTGATACATTTGGTCTATATTAACGTGTTTGTTAATTGCATATTCGTTTGAGTACCAGGCTTCTAGGAATTCCCTGGCACTTTTGATGTTTCCTGTGTCTAAAATTTCGACATTATTCCAATCAAACTGATGTCCATAATCATCTATATGCATTGATATGAAAGAATATATATAATTTCTTTCCACAGCTGATTTGTCTTCCTGGATTCTGATCCGAAGGGGACGCCCACTTTGGCTGATGCAATGTCTGTTACAGTTCATACAATTAATTTTGTAAATGATATTAATTTTATCTCCTTTTCTGTTAGATCTTTCGGTTTGCACAATATCGAATTAAGTGATTTGACTGGCTTGTGTCCTATATCTCTTTCAAACGGTTTCAGTATTCTAGCTGTTATTTCAGAGATATTTTTTATATATGGTAGGATGAATTTTCATGTGGTGTTTGATGATGGTTCGTTGTTGGCGCTGTGATTCGATTTTAAACACTTTTTGATGAAATTGTGCAGATATCTATTCTTTTCGAAGACCGTTTGTAGGTATTTTTCATCCATATTTTTCAGCGCTGGAGTGCTACAGTGTGTTTGTATTCTTTTAAACAACGTGTGCACACGGTTTCTTTCGTGAGCAATTGGGTTATTGGTAGTATTTGATCTGTGCGCGTTGATTTTTTATATACTTGTGTTTCTAAATTTCCTGTGTTAGTTCTCCTGATTAAGACATCTGAAAATGGGATTTTGTTATTTAATTCTTCTTTTCTTGTGAATTTGATGTCTTCACATATGTTGTTTATTAATTTATGGGTATATTCTAAATCATTTCTTTTGATTATTACAAATATATAATCACCGTAATGTACCCAGACTTTTGGTTTAATTATAGGTAGACCTATTGATTCTAATCTTTGCATAGGGGCTTCAGCTATTAATCCTGATATGGACGATCCCATTGGTGTTCCTTTTATCTGCTTGTATATTTGAGTATTGAATTGGAATTATGTTGTAAGGCATAATTCTATGAGTTCTTTCCAAGTTGAAGACTGCATTTTTATGTTTTCATCACTACAGAGTAATTGTTGCATAGTTTCTGTTGCTAGTTTTGGCCTAATTGAAGTATATAACGCTATGACATCAAACGCCACCATTATTTTATTGTCATCTACTTGAATGTTTTTAATTTTCTCTAAAAATTGGATTGACGAATTGATAGAATGGTCGCATGATTCTGCTAGGCAATTTAATTTCCTAAAAAGTTCTTTAGATGGATTATGAAGCAAAGAGTTACTGATTTGTGTCAAATTTTTTCATGATGACGGATGTGAGTATACGGAAAAACGTTTCGGCGTTTAATGGTGACAGTAGTCCTTTCAAACAATGTCAGAATCCGAACAAGTTTGATAAGGATTTTTTGTGGTTAGATAGAAAAAGTAGAGTTACAGTCTTTTCTCAGTTTCTGACTTCTAAAGTTCTCGTTCTAAGTTGTGTTATTGTTGAATGAAAAAATTGTTAGCCAAGACTTCTTACTAGTCAGCCGATTAAGCCGAAGATGCGAAAAGTCCTTATAAAGTTAACGAAGAAGCCATTGTTCTTTGCTAAAAAAGAAAGTGCTAAACTGATTACGTTTGAATGAAATAATATATTATTATTATCTTGGATCCGGATTGGAATACAGGGCTTCAAGATCACATTTCTACTTTGTACCATTTGATGCTGCCCGCTTCAGATGGGACCACGAATGTCCATAATCTCTCATCTCCTCCTGCAGTTCACACGATCTTCTCCATGTCACCCTCGCACCGACTACCCACTCTTCGCTTCCCGTTGGGATTCCACTCGACGGCCTAGGACGCGATGTCATTCCACGGTTTCCTCAATGTATGCCTGATCCATCCATCTCCATTTTTCCTACATATTTGTTGAGCAATCGGCTCTTGATTGGCTTGTTTCACTGCAGAGTATCCTGTTTCTAATTCTTTCTGGACGTTTGATCTTCAGTGTGGATCGAAGGCAGGTATTGATAGAAGTCTGAAGCCTGTTGGAAAATATTTTTCGTGACACACAGCGCAAGTTTCGAACCCATATAGAAGAATCGACTTCACGATGGTGTTGAAAATTCGAATCTTGTTCCTTATGCTTAGTGCGAAAGATTTCCAAAGTGGTTTTAGGTTGATGAAGGTGTATCTTGCCTTTCCGATTCTAACTAGCTTTGACATCTTGATCCGTGTTATGTGGCTGTGGTTGAAACGATGCTTCCTAGTCAGATAAGTGAAGGAGGCAACCTCTGTTAAATCTCTCCCGTTGATGGTGACTGATGCTGGTTGTTTTTTTTTTTGACTTACAGCTTGATTCCACGCCGTATTTTCGGTACAAGTATGGAATTTTCAGCATAGATATCGGTAGCCCAAATTTTGCAGGCCGACCATAGATATCAGGTGTGCGTCGGTGCGGGCTCGAACCCCAGACCATGTGCATGGTCGGCGAGAGTCCTAACCACTGTGCCACCGACGCACATTGCTGTCCGTTGGTTATCTTCATCACCTCCGACAGACATAAAAATTAGCTTTATATGAATGAATTGTTTTCATACAGAATAATGGTGTTTTCGATTTTCTTCCATTAAGTATCGGGGTGTACTGAGACTAATGTTATATATCAAATAGATGTTTTGAACAAAACGGAATGATGCTTATACTTAGCCAAACCAATTATAAAGATTTTCTACATGACGTTCATACATATACACAGATTAATTATCACAACAGTCGTCAGAGTAAGGTTATATTTTTGAAAGATAAGGGTTATATACACTTTAACATTCTAAGCCTGTTAAATATCTTAATAACTTTGTTTTTACGAGTTGATCACTGATTGATATCAGCTTGGGATGATTCCCAGACTGGGATGAAACAGCTTTACAGTACTCCCTAGTTTTCAGTGGTTCTCTAACTGATATCGATCCGTGATCAACTCGTAAAAATAAATCTAATCCTTACAAACCAACTACTGACAATAACTTTGTAGGAAGTCTGTAAATTTTACCTTTTATAAGCAGACTGTTGGGAATGGTTCGCCACTAGACACTTAAAGTTAACAATTTCGCTGATTGAATTTATGGATTAAAAGTGAAAGATCCAGTTGAACACTAGTAAAGAAGATGTCAATCTAAAGAATGAACAATCGCGATCATCATAACGTGAGAGAGGCAAATGAATAAGATACTCTGTTGGCATGATAACATTTAAGAACTACTACATTATTATGTTGGGGCAGTGAAAAATATACCAATCGGTTTTAATTCTGTATCGTGGTCTAATATTTTTCAATCACACAAGAATACCTAAAAGCAGCTAATTCTTCATATTCTACAAGTTTTTAAAAAGCAACTGAAAAACTTCATTATACCTTCAAGTCTATATCTCTTCATTAGATCAATTTTAAATCCTCCAGGGAATATTAGACGAGAATGACCTAAATCACTGGTAAGAAGAAAATAAATTATCACATCACCAACCTAATAAAATGAAGCAGTAATTTGTCTGTAAAAAAAAAACTTATCCACTTTATAAGCTCAAGATAAACAAAGTAGGAAGTTATCTTCAATCTTATTACTTAAAAATGATTATGTATTAAGATCCTTCCTTCTCCAATAAAAATTGATGAGAAAATCTTAAAGATACTTTCTGATTGGTTAACTGTTAATTCAATTTTCTTGACTAATGAATTGCTACTTTAATGACTTTTCCACTGGAAATTCAAATTAAAGATTGATAGATTGGAATAAAGTAAGTGTATCAGAGACTTAACTATAGGTAAGCAACGTTTTAGTTTGAAAATTTTCTAAAATATGTTAAATTTCGTTTGGTTATTGGGAGTTATAGTTCAGAAGTGAAGAATTCTATCGAGTTTAACATATCCTGTTATCTACTAATAATTTTGACAAATCTAAGTTTTATAATATCACCAGAAAGCTAAGAAGGCATTGTGTTTATTTGGAAACACAATATACTCAACATAACATCGGAAAGATACAAACTGTGGCAAGTACTTATTTTCACTAGTAAGTTTTTAGTCACAAACAGAATATTGCAAGCAATATTGCATAATCATACAGTATGGTTGTGCGTCCGTGGCACAGCGGTTAGGACGCTCGCCGACCATGGATATGGTCCGGGTTTCGATCCCCGGCCACAGACGCACTTCTTTACCTCGCTAAGCCAGTAGTGAGGCTGGTAGAACGGAAAGGTTGGACATGAGGCTAGCGACCCCATCCTGTAAAAATTAACACTGCTACAGAAACTTCAAGCCTCTAACTCGGAGCCCTATGTTCCACTGGGAACGTGAAGGAAAAAATATACCGTATGGTTACCTGGATTCGGAGACCCATAGTCCTGTGTACATTTAGGTGGGTTTCAGAAAGATAAAACTTCATAACAGTTATTTTGCGGTGATTTCAGTTATTAACATGTAATAAATCATCAAAAACAACCAATGAAAGACAAAGCAATGTGGATATTATAAACGGCCTTAAACAGCGATGCCATAGTAACTAATAAATGTTCAGGAAAATTAGGATATCATGTAAATAAAGAAAAGTGATATTAGGACAAAGTAAAAATATGATGTTATAAAGGTGAACAAGATATTTCGGTCATGTGTCAAATAAGCACAACAGGATTCACAATCTGTGTTCACTCACATAGATTAGATTTTTTTTATTATAATAAAAGTTTTTTGTATTTCCTAATGAGTGAAAAACAAAACTATAATCTTTTTTACTGACGTTTCACTATTTAATGCTAATAGCTTTATCAAAGTATTATTAAACCAGAATTTACAAAATCTCAGCTTATATATAACAACTTAATCATCGTTCTTCAGCATAAGGTAATTTTTACTTTGTCAATTTAGCCAGTTGGTAAAAATAACAAAACCAGGTGTGGATTGTTGGATTTGATAAGTGTATAAAATTATAAAAGCAGCATGTGTTTACAAAATGAAATTGTCTATCACATTCGCGTTGATTTTGTCGTTTTATGGGGAGGGTTTTTCTTAACCAGGTCAAATTCTATCTTATTTCATGATTCATGTTCAGACAATTTGGATACCGTTTGATATGAAGTTCTATGACTTTAGATGGTCTTTGTGATTTCTGAAATTTTTCTGGATTATTTCAATATTGCCAAAATAAATTTTGTGCTCTGATTCTATAGCGTGTAGACCTATGGCTGACGATATTTCAAGCTTTTCTAGTTCAACTATATTTCTGGGTGGTCAGACAGATGCTCTCTTGATTTTGGTTTCTCGCAGTGTTTGTCCGACGTATATCGCATCACATTCCAAACATTTTATTTTGTAAACACAATTAAGTTGAGAATACTTAGGGATATGGTCTTTTGTACGGACAAGGTTGTCTTGTAGTGTGTCTGATGCTTTGAAGAAAACTGTGATGTTGTGCTCATTGAGTACTCTTCTGATATCGTCTGAGGTTTCTGACCTATATGGAATGACAGCTGTTGAGGCCTATGTCTTCGGAGTACGTTTTCGATCACTTCCATTCATATTAAAAATCCATATCGTGACTGAGGTGTCACTGAATGGAACTTATATTTTTACTTGATTGCACTAGGGGAAGTCGTGATAAGACGTTTCTACAGAGCATTTCAAATAGGTGAATGCAACAATGCAGTTGAACTTACAAATATACGAAACTTTCTTCCTGCACTGCATTCTAAACCATAGAAGATGCTAAAATCCTTGAAATAATAGGTAGTATTCGTAGTTCATAATGTAACTGAAGATCTTTTGTTGTAATCAGAACTTTGTTATTTCGTCGCAAACGTTTCATAACTAGGCGTTGAGATATTTTTAGCACTGTCTTCACTAAAAAGTCTCATCTGTGATACTGTTATCAAATCTAAACAGAAAATTCATGCTGAAAGTTAAAATTTCTAGAATTTCTACCCTATACACTTTACTGATCACGTGAACATTCATTTGGTCTTAAAGCGTTTTTTAAGTCTTGTTACTTTCTATTCATCATGAATTTTGTATTTTGCACAAGTTTAATTTTTCAATGCAGTTTGTACTAAGAACATCAGTAACTAGTCAATTAAAAAATATGCTGACTTGCTATTTCTTTACACCCTCTCTTTTTTTCTAATATTTAATAATAATAATAATGTAGACCTTTTAGAATTTCCACCACATTCATAATCTGTTTTATTTCAGTAACTGTAACTGATAATTCACTACACAGGTCAATCTTTTATATGTATCAGTCATCAGATATCCAAAACACATATCGTTATTCGGTTCCTTTAATCCTATATTTAGTTAAGTTTACAGACAATTATAAATCTTCAATTGCATCTAATCTATCACTCTGTGTATCTATTTAAGTGATTGCGTTTCTCAATAAAGGAATTTTACGTAAAATGGGAGGTTGCTCGAACCAAAAGCTAATTAATTTTTTAAGAGTAATCAGGAGTATCGATGTTTATTGTGCCGTGGAATTCCTTAGTTATAACTGCACATTTTATTGTTGAATTTTATCAGATGAATTAATTTACTGCTAAATGCGCATCCTGGATTCTGCTGCTAGTCACCATCCATCAGTTAACTTCTAATTACATGCTCAGACATCATCGAAGCATCTGCAGAAGAAGTCGACGTGTCAACCTGAGACCAAGCACTTCGTTTGAATCAATCGACGGGAAAATCTAACATTGAATTAAATAATTAATATGACCCGTTGCACAAGAGGTGGCTCTCTTGTGGCCCAAGTGAGCTAGTGGATAACGCTTTGGCGTTTGAAATTATGGGCACTGGGTTCAAGCCTTGGTGGGAACATCATTATTCACTGAGGAATGCAGGTACATTCAGATGACAAGTCCCAAATAGGAGGAAATGCGCATCTTGGATTCCAATGCTATTTGCCATCCATCAAGTAAATTTTATTTCTGTTCCAAATCAGTCTGTCCCCAGAGGTTGTCATATTTCAAAATTGAACTCTTAGGAAGAAAGGCTACTGTGATAAGTGCATACAGTTGTAGCTGCAAAGCTTTAACAGAGAAAGAGACTAATTTTCTATTTATTACTGTACATAATCCATTACTCGTTCCCTTGATAGTCAACAGATTAAATAAAGGTTAAGTCTGATTTTTGGCTACTGTAGTAATATGTTGTTCAATATTCATTTGTTTATTGGGTATATCATAACAATTGATATGATTATGAGCATTAAAATGTATTCGAAATATTATCAAGTAAATAATACTGTTTCACTATGTGATAAATCCAATAAATTATTAGATAAATATGGGAGGGATGGATGATTTGTCTATTTCTAGTCAGTGTTTTACTTCTAATTAATCATCATTGAGAATGTTTCCATTTACTTACAATATAATTAAGAAAATAATTAATATTAATGATAGTAATAAACGTTTCTTAGTGTTTTTTATGAGTGGATAAGAGATAAATTTTATTCAATAAAAGAAAAGAGACGAAGCGTAAATCACGTCAAAACATAAATTTAAAAGATAACATCCCATTGGGATGAAGTTTTCTTGTCAAAAATATAAATACGAAAGCGAATTAAAGATGCAGTATGATGCTCGAAGTAAAACAGTGTAGAGTTTACTGAAGTCGACTGAACCTAATTACTAGTACAGCTAGAGGAAACGGAATCATTAGTACAATACCAATGGGTAACACGTACCAAACAGTACTGTTTGTTGAAATCTATTTCTGGGAAAATACCCACATAAACATTAGAAAGAAGAGAACACGAAGTTCAGAAAAGATGGCGATCTTTTCAACGATTTCATTCTCAAAAGCTATACAGTAGGATTTACGTAGATTATTTCACATGGATACAATTATTATTTGTTCAATTCCACATAGTAACGAAGGTGATAATAATTTTCATCTTGATATGAAAGTTTGAAGGTAGCAATATAGATTACAAGGGGCTTAGAGACAAAAAATTACACAGGATTAGAATATAATTGTAAAATCGTTATTCTAAACGGATTACAAGTGTGATCAAGAGGAGCATGGAAACAAACTTAAAATAACTAGTTTTACAACTGAAAATTTGAAATAATAATTTCAGCTTGAAATGAAAGTTAGGAGTTATTATTATTTCAAATTTTCAGTTATAAAACTAGTTATTTTAAGTTTGTTTCCATGCTCCTCCTGATCACACTTGTAATCCGTTTAGAATAACGATTTTACAATTATATTCTAATCCTGTGTAATTTTTTGTCTCTAAGCCCCTTGTAATCTATATTGCTACCTTCAAACTTTCATATCAAGATGAAAATTATTATCACCTTCGTTACTATGTGGAATTGAACAAATAATAATTGTATCCATGTAAAATAATCTATGTAAATCCTATTGTACAGCTTTTGAGAATGAAATCGTCGAAAAGATATCTTTTCTGAACTTCGTGTTCTCTTCTTTGAAATCGATTTGACATTTCTAGTCGCGCACAACTGTATTTAGTGTACCACTTTCATGGTCACAGTGCACACACTACTTATTGTGTTAGAGAAGTAATTTCCTATGTTTTGATAAAGTGTTATACTTGGGCTGTACATCATCGAATGAAAATTACCTGCCAGATGACTTAATAAAAAAACATAATGATGAAATATTATGTACTGCACAACTTTACGGACACAGTTTTTACTTACTACAACAATGAAATGATAATTGTAGTAATCTGATTTCCAAAATTTCTGGCCTCTGTGCAATATCATTTCTGCAGCAATGTCCGTATTTAGTGTTAAGAATTTCAGTTCTGTCCTAACCTATCTTGTATTCATGCAACAGTATGCATGCGAGAAGTCAACATTCTTTCTACGTTACGCATCTTATTGGAGTCTGTTATTTTACATCTTGTTGAAGTTTCATCTTTTGACAATTTCGTTTACCTCGATCATTTACCCTGACGTAAGTAGTTGATTCCGCATTTGTTTTATCTCACGAAAAGCAACAAAAATATCCATAGTTTAAGAAATAAAGTTTTGAGATTGATGTATTAAACTG